AACGCGCGAGGGTCTTCGAGGCCCATCTAGCCCAGCCGCCGCCCGTGCCCGAGTGGAGCGCTCTCGACGGGAACTGCTTCCACATGGGCGACATGCCCAGGGACTATGGGCAGGGCGAGAAACCCTGCCCCCCGGAGCTCCGAGAAACGGACCTCGAGCGCACCGGCGAGCAGAAGGACACGCTCAGAACGCCACAGGTGCAAATACAGATCCAGTTCCCGCGCGCCTTCGAGAACCGGATCAGGCCCAAGCGAACAAGCGGGCGCAAGAGCAGGTGGGCGACCGAGTTCTCGGGCCAGCCCCCGGGCAAGTACGCGCGCATGTGGCAGCGCGAGAAGGCCGAGACTGGCGGCGAGGCCTCGCTCGAGCACCTGAGCCGAGGCGTTGCCAAGGCGAAGCTCACGGGCAGGCCGCCGAAGGCGAAGACGAGCTTGTCCCAGAAGTTCAACCAGAAGAAGAAAGCGGAGAAGAAGAATAATGAGAAAAAGAAAAAATAAGAAGAAGAAAGCGAATGTCAAGACGAACACAAGCCTCGAGGCTTGCGAGGGCCCCCCCCTGGCACGGCAAGGTAGCGCGCGTCGCCGAGGAGGGGGTCCAACAGGGCAGGCGCGGCAGAGCACAGGACGTCTGGCGAGTCCCGGGCACCGAAGGCGCGCGCCGCCTGCGCGTCCTCGAGGTGGAGACCGCGGCGATCTTCAAGATCGAAAGCAGCAAAGCTGGGAGGCTCGCTGCCACTCGTTAACTTCCGCCTGCTTCCGGCTGGGGCGGCGGAAGCAAGCGGGAGCTAGCGGACACGGCGAGAGCGACGGCGGAAGCGGCGGAAGTTGGCGGAAAGCTGGCGGAAGCAGGCGGAAGCGGAAGCAAGCTAAAGCGAACGAGTGCCTGTGAAACCCGAGCGCCACAGGTCACAGTCGAGCAGGACTACGAGTTCCCCAAGCCGCACGAGCTCGACTGGCGCCAGACCAGACTGGCTCGCCGCACCGAGCTCCCCAAGGAGTGCGCGATCATGAGCTGCGAGCAGTCGTCAAGGGCGACGCCCTCGAGCTGGGCACAGTGCGCGCGCTGCTGGGCGAGATCGAGGAGCGCGTGGACGTCCCCGAGACCGTTCTGGCGGTCGAACCCACGGCGGCCGTCGCCTGGGCTCGAGAGGGCCAGGGCGAGGACGAACCCGCCGCTCAGCAGCCTGAGGAGCAGAAGCGCTGGGCCGAGAGGGTCGACAATGCCCAGCTCGTTCTGACCTGCGTGCGCTCCGAGGCGCCCGCGCACTACACCTACCTCAAGGCCGGCGGTTGCTACAGTTGCCGTTGCCCCAAGGTCCTCCAGTTTTACGCTCCGTGTTGGAGCGAATCCTGGAAGCGCCCTACCCTGGGCAGGGGGCACCTGTAGCAACGCCCGCCAAGGTCTCGAGGATCGGCGGGGGCGTCGCGGTGGAGTGCCGCGACGCCCTCAAGCAGCCGTCCGAGAACGCCAAGCAGGCCCAAAAGGCCACATGCGAACTCACACCAACACCCCACGATTTCTGAAGGGGGAGGCATTGCTCACTTTGCTCGGGAGCTGCCGTACGAAGTAAGCCCCACCCTCCGCCTCAGAAATCGTGGACAAGGTTCGCACGTGGCCTCCCAAGGCCGCCACGAGGATCCTCCGCACGCTCGGCGCCATTGGCCCTGGCGAAACCTGCGCTGCGAGGAGAAACGACATGTTCCAGGCCGACGCCTGGTCCTGCGGCCTGTGGGCGAGTCGTTGGATCGACAGCGCCCTGCGCGAGATCCGAGGCAAGAGCCGCCAAGCGCCCGTGACCATCAGCACGATGTGCGCCCGAGGCAACGAATGGATCAACAAGCTCAAGGAGGCCAGCGACAACGACTCGGCCAAGGCCAAGGCCAAGAGCAAGGCCAAGTCAAAGCCATTCAAGGACCCAACGGCGGTCGAGCCGAAGCGCACCACCTTCGAGGAAGCAAGCGTTGCCGCCCAGGCCTGCACCAAGTGCCTCCCGTGCAAGGACGGCTCCAAAGGATGCCGAGCCTGCATGGGCGAGTGGTTTGAGGCCGTGCGCAAGAGAGGTTTCTTGGCCAGAAGCGCCAAGGACCTCTCTTGCGCAGGCAAGTTGTAGCCACGAGCGTCGAGATCTCCCGAGTCAGTCTTGTGCCAAGATCTACAAGGTCAGTCTACACGAGCGCCTGGGATCATCATCGCCATCATCATCATCATCATCATCATCATCAGCATCATCATCATCATCATCATCATCATCATCATCATCATCATCATCATCATCATCATCATCATCATCGTCATCATCATCATCATCATCATCATCAGCAGCAGCATCATCAGCATCATCATCATCATCAGCATCATCAGCATCATCATCATCATCATCATCATCGTCATCGTCACCATCAGCATCATATCATATCATATCATATATTTATAGCAGCATCATCATCATCATCACCATCATCATCATCATCATCATCATCATCATCATCATCATCATCATCATCATCATCGCCATCATCATCATCATCAGCATCAGCATCAGCATCATCACCATCACCATCATCATCATCATCATCATCATCATCGACGCCATCATTATCATAATCATCATCGTCGTCATCATCATCAGCATCATCATCAACATCATCATCATCATAATCAGCAGCAGCAGCATCATCATCATCATTCACATCACCTTCCCCGCCAGACCCCCGAACTTTATTGCCCCACGGGGATTATGATCGTCCGGAGTCGGTTAGTGTGTTCTTCTTCGGTAGATTCTGATTCCGCGCCTCCCGCCCACGTGAGGCGCAACAGCCGCCTCTGTCTGGCAAGCCGCCCGGGGCCACGCTCCCCTCCAGCCTCCCTCCTCCTGGCCCCTCCTCCTGCATCCCTGCAATCTCTGCCTCCCTGCCTCCCCCCCCCCCTCCGCCTGCGCCCCCCTCCCCCGCCTCCTCCTCCTCGCGGCGCGGGGGCAGCCGCGCGCGGCGGCCCGGCACGGCGGCACTGCAGCCAAAGAGGGGCCGGCTGGCGCGGGGCGCGCGCCGCTGGTCTCCGAGCCCTCGGGGCCGGAGGCGGCGTCGCGGCCCGCGGCGGCGGCCTCCGCGGCGAGGCGGCCGAGGGAAGTCTGGCTGCGAAGGCGCTCCCCGCTCCTCCCGTCCCAGGGGCGCGGCCGGCGGCGGCGGCGGCGGCGAGGGCGGCGAAGGTGGCGCCCGCGGCGTCGGTGGGCCTGGGAGCCTCCGACAAGGCCTTCTCGGGGCGCCTCTTGGGGCACCTTTCGGGGGGCAATCCGCGGGGCCCCTCTCGGGCCCTCAAGTGGCCCCCCCTTAGGGACCCTCTCTGGGGCCCCTTCTGGAGCCCGTTTGGGCCCCCCCGCGGGAAGTGCCAGGAAGCGCCAGATGGCGCGCCTGGGTGCGTGTGGGTCAGAGCACGCGGGCGAACCCCCAAGCGCACCCCTCGAGGGTGAGGTGAGCTGCAATCGCGCCAGCTCGTGTGCTCTCGCTGGCCAGTCGCCAGACCAGCACGGCGGCGGCGGGGGCGACACCCTCTCGGCTGCCCCACCCTCTGCCGCAACGCACAGGAGCCTCTCATACCATCCTGTCGGCCTTCGCGAATCGACGCCAACCAACGCGAAGCCGACGCGAAGCTGACGCGAGTCGACGCTACATCGGCGCTGTGTCATCGAATACCCGACGCTGATTGACGCCCCCCCCCTTGGGCGACGAGGTGGCGATCACTGAGGGGCAGCGAGGGCTGCACAGAAGGTGTCCTGTAGGGCCCCGAAAGGGGTCCTTTAAGGACCCAAAGGTTGAGCAGGGACCGACCGTCCCGCCACTCCTATAGTCATACCACGAAATGGTCCTAGAACCCAAAAATGTTCTAAGAACAAAAGCAATGTTCTTAGAACATAAACCCGATGTGTTAAAAGAAGACGCTCTCCGCCAGAAATGTTCTTCGAACATTCCATGGGAACCACACAAGGTTCTTAGAACATTGTTTGGTGGGGCTATAGGCGAGCCGGGACGCTTCGCCACTGCTTGAAAAGGGGGCCTTTCGGAAGCCCCAAGGAAGCCCAGACAGGGCCAAAAACATATCCTTATCCGCGGCCTCGCGGGCCGGGCGCCTTGGGGCTGGACCCCGCGGATACAGGGAGATTTGTTGGCGGACGCCCAGGGCAGATCGTATCCTTGCGACCGCGTGTCAGCGGGATCGTGCCCCAGAAGGCAGGCCGCGAGAACGCGGATACGGACATGTTCGCCGCTGAATTAACACAACGTCCAGGATTCCCCAAAGTTCCAAATAGTTTTTGAATTCTCGTATCCCCCTCCACACGTCATATTTCCCAACATTTCTATGAACGTCGACGATTATGTGTCTGTGTCCACCATTTTCCTCTGCCAACTATCGAAGATCTTCGAACATTGTCGGGGGCCTTGAGGCGGGGGTCAACGCAAACGTGGGTCAGCAAGAGCGCCGCATCTTGCAGGACCCTGCAAAGCCAGATTGACCAGGGTTCGCCTTGCTAGAAGAACAGAAAGCGGCCTAAACATGAAACTAGCGCTGAATCAAAAGATCGGAACTGGCCCCCCTCCATGGCGCGCGGAGCGCGCAAGAGGCGGGGCCGCGGGTGCCGCCAGGGGGGCCCAGGCGCCGATCCAGGAAATCCGCGCGGAGCGGCAAACGCTCATGATTTTGCCGTTTCTAGACGAGCGCGTTCCACTACTCGCAAAGTAACTACTCGCAAATGGCCTGGATCCCCCGCGGAGAATCTACGATAAATTGCATCAGAACGGACATGTGTTTTTTCGGACGTTTGCGAGTAGGCACTTTGCGAGTAGTGGAACGCGCTCGGTGAGTTTCTGTTCTTCGAGTTTACCTGGGCCCGTAGATCCCTGACACTGTTTTTGTTGCTTGATCGCCAGCGGCTCCGCGGCGGCTGCGGCGTCGAGGCGCCGGCGCCTGCATGCTCGGCGCGGGCTGCCTGGTGCGGAGCCAGTCCTCTGGGTCCTGCGGGGCTCTCTGGCGCAACTTCTCGAAGGGGGGGAAGATGGCAATGCCAGGGAGCATGCGGGATCGAATGGGGGCGAAAGGCGAAAAAGGCAACGATGTGCCAAGACCGGGAGCACAAGGGAGCACGCAGTACGCGACGAGGGATGCTCGAGCCAAGCTCTGTCGCGCTCAGCACAGCACCACCGGTCCAGCGTCGGCTCTCGGAGCCCTGGACGGGGCAGGCAGAGCTGTTGATGTAGCGAGGCTTGTGGACTTTCTCGAGATACGCGCGGCTGCTGACGGCGGGTCCTCGAGGTCCCGTGGGGCCTCCGAGGCGCGATGGGCCAGAACCGGCGTGCGAGGCGGGGATTTATGTGTCCACCGGTAAGGGAACCGACGTCCTGAGACCCCAGCGGGCGGTGGGAATCTATACATACATGCATATGTCATTTTCCTTATTTTTATGATCTGGTGGGGTGGGCCCCCCGCCCGACAAGGGACCCACTGGATCCGTGGCACGGTGGGAGGCAGGAAATCCTTGCTAAGGCGTGCACGCAGGCGGGTGGCAGACCAAAATCGATCGGCGGAAAGCCCAGGAGCCATCCAAAACGGCCCAGGATGGCATCCAGCTAGACGTGACCCCCGCCGGATGCCCGAAGATCACCCCAATGTCACCCCAAAGAGGCGTTCGAACCCCAAAAGCATCGCTGTTTCACAGGTTATTGTACGATTTTCGGATACTCGCTAATTCGGCCTTCCACGTGTCCGAGAACGTTGGAAACGCACTGACAACCGCTCCTAGACGGCCCAAGTGAGCCCTATGAGCGCCCGAAGCGGTCCCCAAACTGCCCACAAGTCCTCATGACCGCCCAAAACTGACCCCACGACGGCTGGTGCAAGGCCTTAGAGACGCCACAAACGGTCCAAGATGACATCATGCGGTCCAGGCGATTGAAGGATGCTCGAAGGCGCTTCGAATGTCACCTCCAAGAGGCGCTCGAAACCCTGAAAATCCAGATTTTCCTGAAGTTTTTGAATTCTTTTCGACTGTGTCCTCATTCTGCTTGCCAGGCGTCCGAGAACGCAGGCGAGGCACCGAAAACCTTTCCCGACTCCAGAGAAGCCGTACGGTGGCCCAAGACGGCTCCTAAACTGCCCACAAGCGGCCCCTCGACCGCCCCAAACTGACCCCAAGGCGGCCGGCGAAAGGCCCGACCCGCCCAAGACGGTCCAAAATGGCATCGGGTTGGCTTTGGCCCTCGTCGGATGCCCTAAGGCGTCCCGAAAGGTACCTCCAAGACGCGCTCGAATCCGAAAAACACTGATGAGTCAATGATGTTGTAAGATTTGCTACCATTCGTTCCTTCGGCCTCCTGGGCGTCCGAAAACATTATCAAAGCTCCGAACACCGCTCCAACTGAACCCAAACGCGTTTCCTGAATCCCCAAAGCGGCCCCACGAGGGCCCAGGACGGCCCCTAAACTGCCCGTGGGCGGCACCCTGACGGCCAGGGGAGGCCCCAGCACGAGCCAAATCAGCATCCTCACTCTTAAGGAAGGCGCCATGAGGGCCCTAGACGACTCCCAAACTGCCCATAGGCGGCTCCATGACAGCCCAGGGACGCCGACTGGACGCTCCTCAACAGGGCCACCCAGGAATTCCAGCTCTCCAGGGCGCCTTCTCAACGATCAGCCAAGCGTGCAAACGGGCGAGCGGCAGTCCCAAGACGCCCCGAGGACAGTCCGAGGTGGCTCCGACATGGGCCGCAAGGCCCTCACACCACTTCTGCAGGCCCCCATATAGATGCCTGAATTCTCGCCCGCTTAGATGGTATTTCATTACGGAAAGCCGCAGGTTGCCCACAACCCCAAGTTCGCAACCACTTTGATGGAAATTCTGTTGCGCACCCTGGACTTCAACAATTTCCATTTACGCCATTCCGTACGCCCGTGGTCTCCGACTCACAGTCTTTGCCCGTCCCAAATTGACTGCTCCCTTCTCCCCTTCCCCCGCTTCTCCGTGATACGAGCGAGCGAGCACGCCTCGAAGGGGAAAGAGGAAGGCGTGACAGGCCAACCGCTCCAAAGCTTCAAGGAACCATGTGATGGCGCGAAGCGCCAATGCAGCCTGGTATACATGTATATACATAAGAAATACATATATGCACACATGTATCGGCGGCGAGCCGCGGGGGGGAGTGAGAAGGGGAAGGCCCCCTCAGAAGGCGGAGGGGCTTCTCAGAAGCCATCGTGTCTTTTGGAAAGTCTTTTATGCCTTCGGGGAAGCCTCAAACCACTTCTCAGAAGGCTGGGGAGACTCCCGAGCCTTCTCTGATACGGCCCGCCCCTTTTCACTTCCCCCCCCACCTGGCGCGCCGCCGAATGTCGGCCCAAGGGTGCCTGAATCTATTCATATCCACCGCCTGCAAGGGTCCCCCCCAGAGGCCCCCGAGAGTCTCCCGAAGAGGCCCCAATAAGCATCCCTGAGGACTCTGGCCCACGTTAACGTCGTCGTCGCCGCAGCCGTTGTCGTCGTCGTCTCAGTTCAGGGTCGGTGGTGCCGGCCGCAAGGCATTCGCAAGGGCCTTGGAGGGCTATGCAAACGTTTTGCGAACGAAGTTGGCCAGCCAAAGTCGCTGGGGATGGGCCGAAGCGGCAAGGATGCAAGGATAGCAATTGAAGGTTGTTCATCCTTACTGGGAGGGTTGACTGCATATCCACATCCATTGCCTACAGAGGTCCCCCCCAGAGTGGCAAATCCCGCCCTTTCCCTTTCGCGAGCCACACCCCCTCTCCCCCTATCCAGTTGGAGCGCATCGCAGTTTTTGCGAGCGTACTCTCAATATCCGCTGCGAGCGCCAATGAGCAGCAAGAGGAGGGCGGGGAAGAAATAAAAGGAGTGAATATTAGCGAGGGAATTAGAATAGGATGAATGAGAAGTGGAGGATTATGAGTACGTGGAGGAGCAGGAGGACGAGGAGGGGGAGGACGAGGAGGGGGAGGAGCGAAGAGAAGGGCGAGCGGGAGGGGGGCGGGGCCGCGACGGGGGGCGGGGGGCCGACGACGTACGAGGTTCGACGGCCTCCCCTTCCTCGACATCCTCGTCCTCCTCATTTTCCTCCTCTTCCTCCTCTCTCATCGTCGTCCTCCTGCTCACCCCCTCCTCCTCCTCCTCCTCCTCCTCCTCCTCCTCCTCCTCCTCCTCTCGCGAGCCACATCCCCTCCCCCCCCAGCCAGATCGCTCCTCCTCGGCGTTTTCCTTCTCGGTTGAGGCCAAGCGTGGAGGAGCAGCAGGAGGACGGCGGGGAAGAGATCAAGGGAACATTGAGGACCCGTGGGGGATCACGAGTAGGAGGAATGAACAGTGGAGGATCAGGAGGACGTGAAGGAGCAGGAGGGCGAGGAGGAGGAGGAGGAGGGGGAGGAGTGAAGAGGAGGAGCAGGAGGAGGGGGAGGAGGAGGGGGAGGAGGAGGAGGAGGAGCAGGAGGGCGAGGAGGAGGAGGAGGGGGAAGAATGAAGAGAAGGACGAGCGGAGCGGACGCCGCGCCCCGCGCTCGGCCGCGCCTCGAACAGCGCGTGTTCAGGAGCCCCCAAACAAAATACCCTTAACCGCACCCATGTCTCGAGACAACGCATACCCACAATCTATCCTAACCGGATATGGGCCCTGAGTCCTCCATGCAGGCGGCTCGCCCGAGTGATGCGTAACATTTTGCCTCTGGGCATCCGTGCCGTGCAGAATTTCAGCATTAAGACGCTGCGCGCCATGATGTGTCCAGCGACCCACAGCACGCACAGCCGTGGTAAGTAGCAAAAGCTGGAAAGGCAATTGACGCACACGTACTAGAAGTAGTAACCGTGTACCAGGGATCGCCATATATGCAGCCGAGGTAGCAGCAGTAGTACACGTGATACTAGCAATATTCGTAAAGGTCGTCGTATAAGTAGTAGTCGTAGCCGTAATAATATTACTGGTAGCCGTAGTAGTAATAGTAATAGTAGTAGTAGTAGTAGTAGTAGTGGTGGCAGCAGTAGTGGTAGTGGTACTAGTAGTGGTAGTGGTAGTGGTAGTGGTAGTGTCAGTAGTCGTAGTAGTCGCAGTGGTAGTAGTAGTAGTAGTAGTAGTAGTAGTAGTAGTAGTAGTAGTAGTAGTAGTAGTGGTAGTAGTAGTAGTAGTAGTGGTAGTGGTAGTAGTGGTAAAAGTAGTAGTAGTAGTAGCAGGAGTAGTAGTAATAGAAGTAGTAGTAGTAGTAGTAGTAGCAGTTGTAGTAGTAGTAGTAGTAGTAGTAATAGTAGTAGTAGTAGTAGTCGTAGTAGTAGTAGTAGTGGTGGTGGTGGTGGTAGTAGTAGTAGTAGTAGTAGTCGTAGTAGTAGTAGTAGTAGTAGTAATAGTAGTGGTAGTAGTAGAAGTAATGGTAGTAGTAGTAGTAGTCGTAGTAGTAGGAGTAGTAGTAGTAGTCGTAGTAGTAGAAGTAATAGAAATAGTAATAGTACGAGGAGGTCGTCGTAGTAGTAGTAGTGGTATTAGTATGATTAGTAGTAGTAGTAGTAGTAGTAGTAATGTTTCTCGTCGTGGTCGTGGTCGTACTAGTAGACGTGCTAATATGGTGGTACGAATCGTAGCATTTGCAATGAAAGAAATGGTAGTATGAAAAATGGCACACGTAAAATCAGTCGGCGTAGTACTAGCGATCGTAGTAGCTGTAGTAGTAGCAACGGTAGAAGCGGTGTCAGCAGTAGTAGCAGCGGTAGTAGTGGCAGTAGCGGTAGAAGCGGTAGTAGTAGTGGCAGTGGTAGTAGTAGTAGTAGTAGTAGTAGCAGTCGGAGTAGTAGTACTAGTAGTAGTAGTAGTAGTAGTAGTAGTAGTAGTAGTAGTAGTAGTAGTAGTAGTAGTAGTAATAGTAGTAGTAGTAGTGATCGTAGTAGTGGTAGTAGTAGTCGTAGTAGTAGTAGTAGTAGTAGTGGTAGAAATAGTATTAGTAGTAGTAGTAGTAGTAGGAGTAGTTGTAGT